ATGAATCACAATAACCATGAATCAAACGACTTCGAATCTCCTATCATCGATCTCGCAGGTAAGTGTAGTGCAAATTGAGTAGGCATAGAAATTTTAATATCTCGAGGTAGTATAACCAGTCAGCACGTGGAAGGACACTTAATCATCGTTCGAGTGAGCATATCAACGCGGTAGATGAACTTAACTTTATTGGTGAAGAACGATGTGAACAGTAATGCGAAACTATGTGCTTTCAAGTTTTCTGTGCATCCGACCTCGCCCATGATCACGAATCTTCATACTCATCATAAGAGTGCTATCATAGATAAAGATGACCGAGGGAGGTTTAATTTCGAGAACTTTTGACGTTCTGAAGCTCGAAAAATTTAACCAGTATAGGAGCACAGTAATCAGAAACATTCTTGCTCGAGATACTTCATCTTCAAATGAAATATTAGCAATTTCAGTTCCTGCAGTACTTCATGAACATTATGCAGAAGAGATACTGGCAAAACTTACTCTCTCGTACCACCTTCCTGCATTCGAATGAGGCCAAAGGTAAAAACATAGGATCAGGTGGGTCGAGAGGTACCTGAAGTACGAGCCGCTAGGTTTGCCCCTCCGAACAAGCATTATCATCTTAATCTTGCATCACCGCTTCTCCTTTCGGGTCGCGGATAAGCATTATCATCAAACTGAAGAAAGCAAGGCGGGAAATTGACCACTGCGAATGAGAGTTAAACACTGGAAATTGCGCTTGCTGAACGTCAACCCTTCATGGAGTACTGCTACATAAACTGAAAACTACACGTAAATACCTCCAAGGTTCAAATAGAATTGCATGGAATAATTCAGATAAAATGGATATGGAACACTTTTGTGTTCTGTCCTCTGAAAATGAAATACGACGATTGATGTTTTGCAATGCCTGCTCTCATTGATTATGTCATTCACAGACGAACATTTTCAAACGTAGTTTCGTGGCTTAAGATTTAGTATGCATTAAGTTAAAGTTATTTATGTATTTAACGCACTATGAGCGCACTTTTTCTTTCATTATATTTTTGGGTCTTATTTGCTGGTTGCTAATGCACTTGTGTGTTTGCGGACGACTGCTCACTTTTCTTTGAAGACTCAGCTATTGTAAGAACAATCGATCACCACTGATTGGAGGGTACCCGTTCCAGCATAAAGTGGATACGAAACGATCGTTGTCTCGAAAGCTCTTGGTAACGCAAACAGCGACGAGGCAAAAAATGTGCAAGGTGTCCCTCTGAGGCTTGAATCGACAGAGGTGATTTCTGCTATCTAAGATGTTAAAAAAAGATGAGCCGATACTGGTGGCTTGTGTCATACGACCGGTATGCATACAGAATTATGAAGTTGGCTTCGCTTGACCAAACACGTCCCACAGGTGGTCCAGAAACATGTAATGACCATCTGATAATTAGACAGATTGGTCAGTGGTTGAGACACAGCGCAGAGAGCAGTGAAGATTAAAGACGCGTCGACTTAATTTTACAAAGTATGTATGCATGTATGTATGCATGTCCAAAATGAACACAAGAATGAAGAATCAACTAATAAACGTTTTTTTTTCGCACAGTATGAATTCGAAGCAGTTCGTGGCACATATGGATTAATTTATAACCGTTACGTATGACACGCGTAAATTACACTAAACAAGTGATTGACAAGTTTGACGGTTTGACATGTATACACGCAACGGCGACGATAACAACAAACCATAACATTCATATTTCCGCTAACTAAGTGCTTGTGATAGAGCATGATTTCAAACAGTCGCAGAATTTCCCTTACGAGAGGTCATTCCGTACAGTGTATTTGCGCCCAGCTGACTCTATTTCACCACGAAGGTCTTGAAATCGAAATGTTCGACTTTGGTTTTGACTTGTTTCATGAGGTCGGCAATCTTTGAACGGTACTCTTGTAGCCACAGAGACGAAAGACAGATGATAATAGCCTTAAGCGTGTGGATGCAGTTGCTGCTTTGTCTTAGGGTCAGCAAGGCGCGACCTGACTTGACGCTGCCGTACGTGGAAGCCAGCCAGATGATGTTCGGCACAAAAATGAAAAGAACGCCAAACGAGGACAGCAAGATCAGCCAGTGGACAACGTTCGAGTGATAACGCAGCCAAGTGGACCTGCTCAAGGAGCAATTCTCGGAGGTGACCGCTCGCATCAGTCTGACCACTCGACACAGGGTGCAAAGCGTCATTCCAGAAGAGGTCAAAACGACGACCGATGGAGCGATGAACATGTAAAGACAGTAGGTCTCGTCAACGAAAGCATCGCTATAACACATGCCGCTCACCTTCTTACGAATATGGATGGCCAGTATCGAAATTACAATGCCGGTGGCTATCATCAAAGCCAGCTCGATTAAGTTAATGTACCACGCGTATCTTTTGCGCCATTTTCTTTGGTACAACAGGGGGTGCCGGACGGCAAAGAACTGCTCGATGGCAATGCATAAAACGGGAACTGGCGAAAACTGCCAACCGATGATAATCACCACCGGGAACACGCTGTACACACAGTCGCTTGTAGAGACTTGGTTAGCAACGCTGTCAGACAAGGCCAGCTGCAACCTGCTCTTCGACCAGACCAAACGAGCAACGCTGTAGAACCACTCCTCAAGCAGCAATCCAGCAAAAAAGCCGTGTCGATTTCGAATGTCCGGAAAATAAAACGAGATCATCAGGAGAGCCGTGATCATCGGAATACCAATGGAACTGAACAATATCAGCAAGATATTTTCCAATTGCAAGCGCGAATTCAATCCAGACAGGTTGTCTATGGTGCAATTTCGACTCGACCTCGCATCACAGATATCAGAGCAGTTTTCTTTAAGGCAGACTGTCATGTTAACGTGTGACACCCCTGCACGTTAAAAGAGGACACAGCGATCTAAACAAAATTCTACCCTCAACGCAATATCCTTAACTATGTATTTACTTTAGCCGTCTGGTGGCGTTGTGACGAGCTCATTAATGTCCTCCAATCCGGTGCTTCAAGATTTTTCCAACTCAATTAAACTTTAATCGTAGAGTGCTAGGAACCTGTTTTGCTCTTTCAACGTTTACACGTAATTTTTGACGTAGCAATGAAACTGGCTCTTTTTGCATGAAAATTGCTTGATCAGTGTTTAGTCTTTGTTAATAACTAGCATTGTCGTATTGAACAGGGTAAGCGGAAGCTTTCACTGCAAGACTGGCTTTGAAAACAGCTTGTGCCACTGCCAAAGGTGCAAATGCATGTTGCTCATATGATTGAGTATGCAATTAGCAGGGTGCCGGTGCTTAAGTCGCATTATCGATGTCATTGTCACGCAGTCTAAAGCAGAAACATATATCGAATACGGTGATGCCAACATTAGCGAAGTTACTTGTGAGTAAATGAGTGAAGGCCATTGTGCTTCTGTAGACCACGGGCGTTTTTTCTGTCTGGGATCGATTTGATGTCCATTACCCGAATCTCGGCGGCCACACAGCAGAGAAAAAGCACAGAAACGGCTTGCTCGCTGGCGCAAAGCAACATGCAGCACATTGTTCTAAGCCGCTGCGAGCTGTCGGATTGCGAAGCGGTCAGCTACCGGACAGTGATAAGTGGAGGTTGATAATCCTGCTTATGAGCACAATGCATAGACGTCCCTTATATAGACGGTCTGACTGCCAGGACGAACGGGAGTTTCATCATTGGAAGAACGTCTAACTCAAAATCAACAGGTCTCGAGTTCGAACGTTGATCAAATCATTCGCCTTTCTTCCTTCCATTGTTGACAAATGCGTGCGAAGGAAACCTGCCATTACGCAATATGTTTGCCACATGAATAGTCGACTCTGCCTTTAAAATAGGACATGTTTAGTCTATGGCATGCAAATGGAGATCAATGGCAAATCATAAACTTCATGAGATGGGGGGCTCCAGAAGTAGCTAATTCATGAAAGTGTAAGGAAGACGAGAAAGACATTCCAATGGCTGCATACTTTCATTTTCCTTCCTTTTTGAACGGAAGAATCGAAGATGGCCATGCATACTGTACAAGACTGTTTTTTGCCTTCGCACAGAGGACACAGGGCCTAAAATTTTAATAACCATCAAACAGCAAGCAAGGTTGCATAGTTTCAGGCAGGTTTCACTGCACTGACGAAAACAGTACTTTCAAATGGCTGTGGGTAAACATTTGCTTATCATACGAGAATCTGATGACCCCCAAGTAAAATGCCATCGATCATAATTTATCGTAACGTAAACGAAAGATCTAGGGTGATGGTAAGATTGACAGAATATGGCATAGCCAGGATTCTATCTGAAAGAGTTCATTAGAAACTTCTTTAGTTAGTTAGTCAGTTTTGATGACCACGTTCCCTTTCAGATTTAGGAGGCAGAGAGTGTCTCCAATGTTCTCACGAGTGTGCCGGCGTTCAAGCTTCGGCAGAACATGAACCCTGTTTGGAAAAGAATTCTTCCATATACTTGCCCAAATTATTCTTGGTCATCTGCGGGGTCTTCCACCGGTTTGTTGGACAAATAGTCCATGTTTCACCTTTCTTTCTGGAAGCATCGGCAAGAGGTAGCCGACTATCGCAGAATGCCTAAAAACATTCTGCAGAAGTACACCGAGGCTCTCTCGGATATCTCCACTACGAATCATGTCGAGACGCGGCGAGCCCAACGATTCGTCTCAGAAAGCCCATTTCGGCCGTCTGAACCCGGGACCGAAGTTTTTCAGATATGCTTTACGATTTATGACCATTTGTGATCGTAGGGATAAAGAGTGACTCAAACACATACAGCTTAGTCATCAGACAGCTGTTCCTTAGTCACAACGCTTCATTCAGAACCCCACTGGCCATTCTAACTCGCCTCCATCACTGGTACATACAACCACTAGATCCGTGAACTTAACCATCTGCTCAACGGCTTTTCCGTTTATCTGAAGAGGGCCACGGGAAAGAGAATGAGGAAGCTTTTATTTTAAGACACTTCTCAACTGGCTACGACCCTTTCCAGAGAGCTCCGGAAATCAGGTTCAAAAAATGAAAATAAATCAAGGTCGTTTGCAAGCAGTAACCTTCATTCATTCACTGACACATAAGTCGCCCTCACTCTCTTATCCATATACAACACAAATTGGAGGACAGAAGGGGCGACACGCAACCAGAAACGGCTGCCAACGTTGAAAGGCTTCGACTAATTCTTCGGTATAACGACATTTAATTGCTGAACTGAACATTTCCGAAAGTGAAAGGCTGACTTTTTTGACTTTAAAATAATTTTTTTTGCATTTACAGATAGCCACTTCTGGTCATAATAATTATAGTAAAGTCGCAGCTAATCTAACGAAATGCTCGCAAAGTGTGATTGCCACCATTCTTGAAAAGAACAAACTTCAATTCTGACAGTAAATCTGTGAGGCAAAATTAACTGATTGATATGAAAGTTGCAGAACCCCCTCTCTCCAGTTTAAAAGATAAGGCGTCTTATTCATAGCACTGATTTAAGGACGAGCATACAC